CTGTTTTGGAAGGCAATTCCAGATTGCTTGCACATTGGTCAGGTGAGGCCAGACCAGGGAAACATGGAGTTTCTCCTTTGAAGTGGCTGGCAGCCAGAGTAGGAAATGCAGATTATTATTATTTTCTTTTTATGACTGCCATGTGTTTGACAGGCATCGTGAGGAGCTGCGCTCCCCTCCCTCTGCTCTGGTGGGCTATTTGGGACAGAATGACCCCATTCACAATTAAAGAAAAAAAATCCTAAATCTCTCTTTTTTTTTTTTTCTTTTTTTCTTTCTTTTTTTTTTCTTCCTTCTTATGTTGTTTATAACTAAACAACATTCCTTCCTTCATTCTTTTCCCACCCTACAGGCCTCTAACACCAGATGACTTGATTCTTGCAAATACCTTGCCCAGGTTTCCAGAGATGCCGAGTCCAAGCAGCTCTCACAGGCTTGATCTGGTACTCAGTTCAGTCCAGCCCAAAATCCATCCATGGTGTCTCCTCACTGCTATCACCCACTGTCATATTGCAGCACGTTGCATTTACACCAGATCAGCATCCATATACAAAAACAGCAAAAATMCAGAAGAAGCTTTTGTGTGGAGGAAAATCTTTGGGGCACTTTGACAGATATTGCTGGATCTTCCTTCCCCACCTTCTTGTGGTGCTCTCAGTTAGAAGTAGGCTGCTCCCCTTGCTGGGCAGAGAGGGATGTCTGCAGAGAAGAGCCCATCATGTGTGGAGGTTCATAAGGCTTTTGCAGTTCATCATCTCCTAGATCTCTGGGAGAATTTTTTTTTTTATTATTTTTGATTTTTTTCTTACTACGCTTGTAGCTGCTTCTTACTGTGATTCCTGTTGCTAGCTGTGGCTTAGGGCTATGCCAGCCCAATTCTTGCCTTTGTGGCAAGATTTGCTTTTAGATGATACATGATTCCCAACCTAACCCTCCTGTTTCCTTCCTCCCRTTCCTCCCCTCTATTGATCGCAAAACTCCTTGGCCTCCCCCTTGCTTGACAACAAGCAGTTGAAGTCTTTCCTTTGAGCCAGAAAATACTTGCTCCTCTTCTTGGAAACAAGTCAGGAACAAGGTTTAAGGCTGGCCTAATGTGCATCCCCCTCCTCCCTTGCCTGGGCTCCACGTGCAGGACGGAGGTGTTAGAGGACAGGGTGAAAGAATCTGGGAACTTGTGTGGGTCAGCTGCCCCCCAGGCTAGGCTCATTTCTGTTTTTAAAGAGCCTTATTACTAGTGCTTGGAAAAACACAGCCCTCGGACCATGAGATGCTAACAGGACTAGTTCCCAAGGTGAACTTGTGCGTGAAACAAACCACACTTTCAACACCAGCGAGCGGAGTGAGTGCGGCTCCCTGCGCGGGAGCCAGTGGAGAAGGCAGCGAGCAATTACGGCCCAAACTGTTTATTAAAACTTGTGGAAATTACTCATAACTCCATGTGTGCGACAGCTTTGTAGTGGAGTGATGCTCTTTGTTTGCACACGAGGCTCTCGRCGAGGGCGAGAGCGCGAGCGTGTGTCTGTGAGCGCGCCGGGCGAGAGAGCCAGCGCATTATGTCATAGAAGAAGCAGGCTCCACGCTCGAGACAGAGAGGGAGAAAAATGTGTTTTACAGGGTGAGGTACAAACTCAAATGGCTGTGAACATCTGGAACTGATATTAGGCTTGGAAAATGTTTTCTGTCACTCCAGCACTCCTCTGGAGGAAGGTTTCTAAAGTTAAGAAGCTCCAAAGGGGACGAGGGGGAGGGACGAGGGGAGCGCGCGGACGCCACGCAAAGTGCTCTTTATTTCTTTTTGTCGCTGTGCCCCAGGCTGCCTCCTCCGTGCACATGAGGGGCCTGGAGTGCTGTTGGTGTTCGCTGCGGTGGCCGTGATTTAGAAGGGCCTCCTCCGTGCTCATCGGGGCTGGTGTGTGTGCTGCACTGGTCGTTTGCTGCCCCAAGGCAACCAGCAGGAAGACAAAAGAATCCTTGCCCTGGTTTTAGCACTGGGACCAGGAACCTGACAATGTTCCTCATGCTATGTTCCCATTAAATACGATGATGCCAAGACTTGGCTCCCATAKCTGCTTTAAACCTCCCTTTGCTGAGACCTGACTAAGCTCATGGGTTCAGTCCTTGCTAAAGCCAGGGCTTGGCATTAGCTCCAGCCCAAGATCCTCATCCTCCTCATCTCCATTTAATGCAGATCCTATGGGGAAGCGCCTTGGTCTCCGAAAGCAGTGTATCTTACCCCAAAATACATTTGGAAATTGAAAGAGGAAGTACAATATCCTCCTAGGTAAGGAGACAGATCTGTGTAAYGTTGAAGACCATCTGAACAGCCTATTGGGGCTGACCTGTTTGGCTGGGTCTTGGATGAGGCTGTCCTGGCAGGATATTTCACCTCTGCATGTGCCCTTAGACCCCTGGCTGGGGCTGCCGTGGGGAAGAGGGACGAGACGAGTGCTGCTCATCGCAGGCATCTCAGGCTGGGTAGTAAAGCAAGGACCGTAGGGAGCACTCAAATATGAAACCCCAGGTCTGYTGGCTCTGTGGGAGATCCATGAGCTGCAAAATCATCCCTGCACTCATGGGTGGCCACGGAAGGGAGCCTGGAACTATGCAGATAGTTCCAGATCTTGTCAGTACTCAGGCTCACTGCTCAAATCTGGACCTATTCTCACAGCTAGGGTAGATCATGGGTGCACGAGTAACACAGGGAAGTGAGGAAGGGAAAGTAACGCACTCTTCCTTTATTATTGGCCAGCAGTCGCTTAMGCCTCTCTTTACCGGTGGGTTTTGGAAGGTAATGCCAGGAAGGTTGTGAGAAAGCTCTCCTGCTTTAGGATTGATGGGGATTAACACGTGTGTTGCAAGGATGGAAAATGCAAGAGCTGGGGAGGGGGTTACGTTTTACACTTGCTTTTATGCCCACACACCGCTTAGCAAGACAGGCCTAGCTGGCCGGCCTGCGGGCTTCTCTTTAGCCCTGAGCTGCGGGCGCCCAGTAGGCAGCTGTAGACCTGCAAGCATGGGGTTAGCATGGTCGAGGCCTGGGGAGGAGAGGGCCTGCCTGGCGCCCGGCTGCGCGCGCCTCCGAGCAGTGAAAGGCTCCTTGTTAGCCAGCCCCTGCTCTGGAGCGAGCGGGACGCTCCTGTAACGTCACTAATCCCATCTCCCGCTCACCTCATCGCCGGCGCAGCAGCGGCGGGAGCTGCTCGGGCCCACAGCTAAAAATAGCAGCATTAGCTAAAGGTTTAAAAATAAAAGTCTTAAGTATTTGTAGCAGCTGCAGGGGGATGAGGGATGTGCCGGTGCGTGTGGATGGTTTGTGTGACGGATAGGGGTCTGCAGCTCAGTGGGGAAGGGTCCATGCTGCTGTTATGGGGTGGCCGTATGCTGAGTGTGATGCTGAATCACTCTGGGTCATCCTTGGTCCCATTAACATCCTTCTCTGGTGCTGTTTGTTGCTGCCTGCTGTTGCTACTGACTGGACCTTGTGCCACGCGGGTGCCTGTG